GCCGCCGGCCGCCCCGTACAGGCTGCGGGGTGGGAGATGCATCCCCAGGGCCCGCGCGCTCCTGTCCCCCTCCTTTATCTCTCCCCTTCCCGTGCCGGGAAGGTGCCCCCCGCCTCCCGACCCCTTCCCTGGGGTGGGGAACGAAAACTTCATCTGTGCAAAGGGTGGGGGAGGCCCCGAGGCAGGAAAGGTGGGGACGGTGCCGTCCCCGCAGCGGTCGCGGTGTCCAGCGACACTCAACATTGCTATCAGGCAGCGGCGGAACTATCTGCGTACCAGAAAAAAAATATTTATGAAATAAATGGTAATTTGTGTAAATAAGCTATAAGGATCCCAGAATATGCAAATTGGTATTAATTTATTCAGAGTTGTACATTGGTGTGTACATAATATTTAGAGTTTAACTCATCGCATTTAAGTTTTTTTTTTCATTTTACATGAACATATATATTGTAAATGAAAACTATTTAGCTCTTTGTGATTGGAGGAGATATTGGTTTCTTTTAACTGTGTTTTAAAATATTGTTTATCCCGCCTGTTCTTTAGGACAATCATGTGCCATTAGTAAAACATTTTTTTGAGTCAGTGGGACTAAGAGTTCAATTCTTTAAAGGACTTTTACAAGAAAGAAAACTAAAGAATCCAAAACGTAACCAAAATATCTCTACAGTGCGGGGTATAGAGAATGCAGGAATAAGCCTCAGGTTTTTATTTTTCACTCCAGAACAAAAAAAAGTATAATAAATTTAAATATCACATGGACTGTGCTCTATATTTGTTTTAAAATAATAATAATAAAAACATGATTTGAAATGTGCTGGTTATTCGGGTATCTATCTGTTCATTTTTGATGAATTCTCTCACATCTTTCAATAAAAAATACTCAGAGAAGCCCTGCTGCCTTTCGCGTTGTTCATTCAAGCTGCGACGACCCGACGGCTGCTGCTGCCGGGCGCTTCCTCCTCTCCGCGGTAGCGCAGCGCGCGTTGCTGCCCAGAGAGGTTAATTCTGGGGGTTCCCGCGAGGGGCTGCGCGGAAAAATCCGAAATCCCGCGCGCAGGTTGAGCGGGGAAGGTGGAAATGTCCCGACGTGGCACGGAAACCTTTGGCTTTCACCCGGCTTTCGGGGGTTTGTCTGTGAACGCGGCGATGTCCGCAGGGAGAGGGGGACCTGGCCCCGCGCAGGTGAGGCAGGAGGGGCCGCACGTGCGGGCAGGGGGTTGCGCGGAAAAAGGCGCTGCAGGGACCGCGAGGCCCGCGGCACCGGGCGGCACGGAGCTCCCTTCCCGTCGGGGCGGATCCA